ATGAATGAATGAATGAATGAATGAATGAATGAATGAATGAACAAGAAATGAGAATTGTTTAATTGTTAACCAGATATTTGTTTCTCTCCCAGGTTTTGTTAGAGCCAGAGGTGGTGGTGATATAAGGGATGTGAACACAAACTCAGAAAATTGGGCTGTAGTTAAAGGAGCCTTAGTAGCTGGAATGTATCCAAATATAGTTCATGTTGACAGAGAGAATGTAGTTTTGACTGGGCCAAAAGAGAAAAAAGTCCGTTTTCATCCTACATCTGTTCTTAGCCAGCCCCAGTATAAAAAGGTAAGATGATATAAAAGAATTGGGGATAGCCTGTAAAGCAGACACCATGAGCCTTCTAAAGTGTGTAGTTATTTTAACACTTGGCTCATTCTAGCATACATTGTGAAGCATGTCTTTCAAGTGCTTTGCACACCTTGCTATTTAGGTTTGGAAAAAAATCCATTGGGCAATGGGCAACTGACCCCCCACAATGTTTGGGATACCTTTTCCCATAAGGATTTCTCTTATAATTTACGTGGCTTTAAAACATAACTCAGTGTGAAACATGAAGATTAATTTATCAATTGGACAGCTTAGAGGGAGATTAAAGAGTTCAATACTTTAGATGAATCTGTATTTTTGAAGACAAGTAAAAAGGTAAAGTCTTTTTAAAATTGAGTGTGACTCTTGGTGATTTCGTAGGCACATTGATGAGTTTTCTTAGCAGCAGAGTAGCGATTGTTTGCCACTGTTTTCTTCTGGGACCTCTTTTCACCTTTCCGGTCCAGCCTAGAGTTTTTGTTTTCCTTGAAAGTCTCTCATCCAAGTACTAAGCAGGTCTGAATCTGCTTAGCAGATGGAAGCTTAACTAAAGACATATGACATCAGGTTATGAGCTACATGAATACTCTCCATATATTTCACCTTTTATAATTGGTGAATGAATGTGAAATAGTGTTGTGTGCCTTTGTGTACACATAGGCATATGCACAGAGACATATTTAACATATTTTTTAATGAAGCATGGATTTGTTTATTAGATTTGACATTTAACTGCATTTTTTGCTATAAGGTATCAGAGTTACTTCTAGAATACAAACAGCCCGTTTGCCTTTCAGAAAACTAAAACTGACTTATATGGAGCTATAGAAATCTCCTGTCTTAAGTTTTAAAAAAAGTCCACAGCTGTTTAGATTAATCATCCAACAACATTAAGTGATCCCAGTTCATTTCTTGTTAGTTTGTGCAAGATAGCTTATAAATGGATGTTTTTGAATTGCCCCTTTTATTGTGCTGAAAAAAACCACTTTGTTAAACTGCTAACAGATTCCTCCTGCAAATGGCCAAGTAGCAGCTATTCAGGCACTCCCCACTGACTGGCTTATATATGATGAAATGACAAGAGCCCACCGAATAGCCAATATCAGGTGCTGCTCAGTTGTGACTCCAGTCACAGTGGCCCTCTTCTGTGGATCAGCTAGGTTGCCAAGTAATGCTTTACAGGAGCCTTCTTCCTTCCGAGGTAGAGTATTCTTATTCCTTTAATTTATTTTTTAAAAAATCTTTGAAGGTTGATGTTTGAACTACTGGATCAAAATGTCAACATATATAAGAGGTTACTTTTGTTGCATGTGTTATATTATGTAAATCTAAACATGATTTTTTAAAGGGGTGGGTGAAAGAAAAATGGATGGTTGCTCTTGGTTTTTTTTGCATTTAAATATAGCTTCTGTAATTAATATTGCTGAAATTGTTGGACTCTGTTTTCTTGAAATTTGAAAATGCTTCATGCATAATGGATTTCTTACATGGAAATGCTTCATTATAGGCAAAAGCAGAAAACCTGTATAATTTATTTTGTCTTTATAGATGTGTTCAGTTAATGTACATGGACTTCAGCATCCCTATGAATTTCCTTTGTCAAATACATAATAAAATTGTACTGCTTCTATGTAAAACAGGTAGACAATGTTTTGATGGCAGGAATCATAATTATCATTTTGGGACAGGGGTTTGAGGCTGCAGTGGTTGGAACCATGCCATGCATTTTGCTGGGGGAAGATTATTAAAACTTATTTTTCTTGAGGTTTTAGGGGGACAATTTTAAAATAATCTTGAGCTTATTTTATGGTTTATGCTACGGTTCTTGTCTGTTTTTCCTGCCTTCAAATTGGAGCTGTCAGTTTTTAGCAATAGTGATCAGAAGGAATCACAGAGGATGATGGAGGCCACAGTTTGCCATCCTTGTTATAGGAGCAAATATAAATTTCATGTTAGATTTATGCTGATTTCCCAGATTGGTTTCTATTGCAATAACTATTGAATGCATGGTTATACAAATCACAGCTACCACTGTCATTTCTTTATGAATTGTTTCTTACATCATATTGAATCTGAGACTAAAAATTCCTCTTGAACTGTTAGATCCAGTAAGGATATCAGAATGCCATAGTTAAATAAATTACATGAAACCCTTGTTCAAAGTATTTCATTCTTCTTTTTTAATGTTTAGCATATCAGAAATGTCATAAGACGAGTAACCTAATTGGAGGAAGTAATGAAAGAATGCCAATTTAGGGTCCCCCCACCCCAACCCAGTAGGTGAATTAAGGGTAATAACTAGAAAAAAACTTTATGCAAATGTGTTGAGTTGTGTCTTACCCTTGAAATGTTTTTGAGATAAGCCCTGTGGGCTTCCAGTAATTGGATCTTCTGAGACCTTTGTCTTCAAATACAGAAAGGCACTGTTTAAACTATTGTATTTCAGTATAGTGTGAGCTGTACTGTATTATTATTACTTAGGAAGTACTGCAAGAATAAAATCAAGGTATGTAATTACTAGATGTATCGAACAGGAACTTACACATATTTGGTTGAATTCATGGCAAGTTGAATGTATGGTGATTGTAAAATTTGGTCTCCATACATGAAGGATCGCAGTATGAACAATCTTAATTTCCTTAATATTTATATGTCTTTATTTATTTGTGTGTGCGTGTATATGTGTGTATACACACTATATAAAATCCCAGTTTAATTTCAGATTATACCAAAGTAGCATGATTGCCTGTGTAATGTTTCTATAATAAATAGAATAACTTGTTGCTAATAAACAACTATACAACTCTAAGGTTTCTAGCACTTTCTAACAGTATATTGTTAATTCAAAAGAAAAAAATATTCTATGTATAATATGTCATAATTTTTATAGTTAAATAAACTAATTTTTGAATTAAATGAATATGTCAAGTTTGAATATGATTGTATAATATACAGATTCCAGAAGTGTTTCCTCTTTCCAGGAAAAAATGTTTCCATAAGTTTTTATTTGATAGAAATTGAATATTTACTTTAGGGAGTTATTAATACAGATTAAAATCTCTAATAAAATCTCAAATTGTTAATTTAAATATTGTTTATAAATGACTAACATATAGGATCTCTGTTTTCTAATATAGTTGATGGTGTCCCTAATGATAGCAGTGATAGTGAAATGGAGGATCGAACAACTGCAAACTTGGCTGCTTTAAAATTGGATGAGTGGCTCAATTTCAAACTAGATCCAGAGGTAACTGACTGCTAAGAAACATTTAATAAAGTTTTTTTTCCCAAGAGTAACATTTGGTCTTATAGGTTGCTTAAAGGCTTCTAAGATGAGGATTCCAAATTTAGATTGGTCAAAGAAAAAAAAAACAGTTCTGTACTACTATACACTTTCAGTAAATTCATAGAACTAAGCATCACAGTGATCTTGCATTTATCTGCATAGCTGTATTTGGAATCCAGTTGCTGAAAAAAGAAAGTGGAGCAATTGTGGAAATGAAATGTTCAGCAATTTGAGAAGAAATGAAAGCTTTGAGGATTTATTTTAAAAAAGGATGATGTGGAGAAAGTACGGTATAGGTACCCTTTCCCAGCACAAATAGTGCAATGGCCACTGGCATAGATAGCTTTAAAAGGGGGTGGGTTAAATCTTCAAAGAGGTTGCAAATCAACAGTTGCTTACTCTGACAGCTAAGTGGAACGCCTGCCCTTGGAAGCAGTATGCTGCTGAATACCAATTTCATATCACACAATAAAAATTTAATGTTGAGGGTGGTGACATAAGACTTGCTTTTTTTTTCTCTCAGTTGTGTACAAAAATTAAAATTCAGATCACTTACAGTTATCCTCTAGCTATGAAGTGCAGGGTACTTCAAGGTCATGCAAGTCCAGTTTGCTTTCAGGTCTTTTGCAGTGTCCCTATATTTGAGGATGTACAAGATTGTAGATTTGCAAATGTTCATGTTCACACATGTACATAAAATAAGAAAAAAAGTAATGCAGCAAAAATATTCATGTATTTCAGGCGATAAGTATAGAATGCAAAAATATAGCGTTTTTATGATTCGTATCATAGATCTTGTATTCAGTCATTCAATATTGATAGTATTGGAGCTATAGAAGGTTCTGTTCATACAGTTATTTGTAACTGAACTGTCAGATTTCAAAAAAGCCCTCAAGGTATGAGTGTTAGAATAAAACTTTTTTTTTAAAAAAAACAGGCTGCTAGCCTTCTCCTGCAGTTAAGACAAAAATGGCATAGTTTATTTCTGCGACGCATGAGAGCTCCTTCAAAGCCATGGTCTCAAGTTGATGAGGCGACAATACGAGCAATCATTGCCGTTTTGAGCACCGAGGAACAATCTGCAGGTCTGCAGCAACCTTCAGGAATTGGGCAAAGACCAAGACCTATGTCATCTGAAGAACTTCCCTTAGCGTCTTCTTGGAGATCAAACACCAGTCGAAAAAGCTCAGGAGAATCAGAGTTTGCAGATGATGCTTTTAATTCAGAAAGGTTAATATCTTTAATTTTAATCACCAAATTCTCAATTATCAGAATTCATGTCTTTTCTGCTGAGAGGACAGGAAACCTATTTTTTAAAGAGCCCAAATAACAAATGGAGAAATAGTTTTCAGTTTTTTCTTTTAGAAGTGACAGGACCACTGAAGCAGTTCAGCAAGGTGGGCCACCTCATATTACGGGTTTGTGCTTCTTACATGAAGAATTTATACCTGTTTCTTGGTGCTACATAACCTATGCCATCTGTGGCAGGTGAATTGGGGGCTTCTGGTTGCTGTCTACTCTTCTGACAGCATGCATTTTGAATATTTTTATTTATTTATTTAGATGAGACAAATTCCACAGGTACCTAAATCTTTTTCTTTTATTTCTTCGCTTTCATTAACTAAAATATTGATGACCTGTTAAAGCTCATTGGTGCAATTTGGTTTTGTTAGGACCATATCAAATAATTACAGTGGTACCTCTAGTTACGAACTTAATCCATTCCGTGACTCTGGTTGCAACTTGAGTT